CCTAGTAAAAATCCTGCCTGATCATCCTGATCCATTCTTTTAATATTCTTTTGAATCTTTCTGCTAATATTGATATGAAAATGTTATAATCCAGATTTAAGTAGTGAGATTGGCCTATAGTTTTTAATTTCTAAGTTGTCTGTATTTTCTTTTAGGATCAGTATAATTAAGGCTTCTCCCCATGAATTGGGTTTGGAGTGTATGTTTAAATTTGATATGACCTTATGTAGAAGAAGAATGAAACTATCCATCATTGTTTTATAATAACTAACCATAAAGCCGTCAGGATCTGGTGCTTTCCCTGGTTTTGCCTTTTTAATGGCTTCAATTACTGTCATTATGGAGATAGGGGCCTCTAATTATTCCTTTTGTGTTTCTGAAATTTGCAGGATTACCTAATTATCCAAGTATTTCAACATTGCTTCTTTTTCATCATATGGGAAGGGTTTTTCTTTGAATAGATCTGAATAGAATCTATAAAACAGATTTTTAATTTTATTTTCATTAGTTATAATTTTGCCTTTTTCTTTTCTATTTAAAATCAGTTTTTTTCTCTTTTTTCCTAAGGGAATAGGCTAACCATTTAACAGGTCTATTAGCATGTTCAAAAATTTTTTGCTTAGAGAGTTTTAATTTTTTTCTCAATCTCCACTGACATAATTATGTCTAATTGTTTTTGAAGTATTTTCAATTCTTGGTTCAACTTCTTGATTTTTCAATTCTTTTCCTTTTTTGCAAATGTCCTCCTGTAATCACCGCTCCCTTTCCTTCTCTTTTTCCTTTTTTTCTATTTCCTTTTGTATGAAGAAGCCTCTCATGTATGCTTTTGAGGTTTCCCATACTATCTCTACTGGAGTGCCTTTATCTAAATTTTCATTGAAAATTTTTTTTCAAAGCCTTGTCCACATTTCGGACTATTTCATCCTCTAAGAGTAAGCTTTCCTTGAATTTCCAATTATATTCCAATGGTTTGTTGTCCAAAAGAAGTGATACTAGGTTGTGATCTGAAATAATTCTTGGTAGGATTTCAATTTTTTAAAATTCTTTTATTGAGAGTTTTAGAGGTAAAAAAACATATCCAGCCTGGACCAAGATTGGTGCCTGTCAGAATAGAATGTAAAGTCCTTTTCTGTTAAATATTTGGATCTCCAAGTATCTTCCAGTATATGATTTTCTAAGAATTAAAAAAAGAGTTTTGATAAATTACCTTGTTTATTTATACATTTTGAATTCCTATCTAGTTCTAAGTCCATTACTTCATTCCAATCGCCTAAGACAGGGGTCCTCAAACTATAGCCCTTGGGCTGGACTTGGTCCGCTGAGGCCATTTATCTGGCCCACAGCCCGCCGGGTGTTTTTTTTTTTGCCAAGTGACAGTGAAAAAAGAGCTGCCCGCCAATCAACAACAACCTCCTCCCAAAGGCTGCTCTAATTGGTTGAGACCTTTAGAAGGGGCATGGCTTCCTCTTAAGAGCCTCTTGCTCCCTTGCTCCCTGTGTTTTACATTTCTCTCCCCCCTATCATGGGGGTTTGCTTGGCAAGTTTCTCCAGAGGAGGGTTTCCATTACCATTTGGGGCTGAGAGAGTGTGGCCTGGCCAGGGTAATCCAGTGCTTTTGAGTCATTTCTGGCTTATTTTGACTCTATCGTGGGGGTTTGCTTAGCAAGTTTCTCCAGAGGAGGGTTTCCATTACCATTTGGGGCTGAGAGAGTGTGGCCTGACCAGGGAAATCCAGTGCCTTCAAGTCATTTCTGGCTTATTTTGACTCTATCGTGGGGGTTTGCTTGGCAAGTTTCTCCTGAGGATGGTTTCCATTACCATCTGAAGGTGAGAGAGTGTGACCTGCCCAGGGTAATCTAGTGTCTTGGAGTCATTTCTAATTTATGGCGACCCCTATCATGGGGGTTTTTTTGGCAAGTTTCTTCAAAGGAGAGTTGCCATGGTTATCCTCTGAGGCTGAGAGGGTGTGGCTTGCTCAAGGTCCTTTTTTTCCCCTCCAGCCCTCCAATAGTCTGAGGGACAGCGAACCGGCCCCCGGCTCAAAAGGTTTGAGGACCCCTGGCCTAAAAGCATCAGGTTAGCAATTTGATATTTTGATACACATTCTTGAAGTTTTTTTTAAAAAAAGAATTTGTGTTTGCCTTCAAACATATAATATTAGTTTTGATGTAGGGGGGATGCAGACGGGCAGCCCTGGGCTGCACTGGGAAGTGGAGGATCAAGGCCAAGGCTACTGGACAGCATGGCCTTGATCCTCCCTTTGCCAGCCCAGAAAGGAGTGGCAAAATGCCACTCCTTTTAGAGCCAACGCGTGGCTCTTTGGTGCCTCTTCTGGTGCAGCATGTCAAAAGACTGTGCTGGAAAGATGTCCTGATGCCACGCGCTGTGCATAACGGCACATGGTGTCTGGACATCTTCGGGGAGGGGTTGAGGCAGCTGGCATGTGGCTACCCCTCCCCATCCCTGCCTCCAGGACGGCCCAAAGGGCCCATCTGTAGAGGCCCATAGACACTATAATTCAAGATCAACATAAAGAAAGATTCAGAATGGAAGATAAAAGAAAAAGAAGAAAAATAAAAATAAAAATAATCAAACATTCAAATGCCTATATACATATATAAAACTAAAACTAAACTGAAAACTAAAACACCATACCAGCATGCTATATTATGTATGGGCCTCGGCAGACGACTCAATTGAGCCATCTCCGAGGCCAGGAAGAGGAGGGGCCACCGCACGCGCGGCGGCCCTTCCTCTTCCTGAGGTCGCCCTGAACGCTTCCGGGTCACCACACGCCGGATGCGTTCAGGGCGACCTCCCTCCACAGCGTCCGGACGCGCTGTGGAGGATAAGTCGCAAAAAGGGCGCCCGCCGCTTTTAGGGCGCTCTTTTTGCGACTTATGAAAGGAGTGCCTTTTTGGCGCTCCTTTCAGGGTCGCCGGGGAGGCGCCGCGGTGAGGCTGCCATAGCCCCGCGGCGCTCCGGACCAGGGCGCTCCAAACGCCCTGGTCTGCATCCCCCCTATAATACATTATCATAAACAACATGCATAAATAATACATTAAACATAACTAACTAAAACATAAAAAGACTCTAACCCCTCAGTCCAAACTGTAATGACAAAAAGACAAACTCCCAAAACAGAAAAGTATATTATTGTACCATTGCAGATCCAGCTAAATTACCTTAGGTGGGCTGCAGATGGATGACTCTGGGGCACCACAGAAAGTGAAGGATCAGGGCTGTGGCCCCGATCCTCCTCTTTGCTGCCCTGAAAAGAGCGGCAAGATGCCGCTCCTTTTAGAGGCAGCAAAAGGGCACCAGCACACAGATCTTCTTCACCCTTTACGGTGCAGTGCATCAGAATGCTGCACTGGGAGGGCATCCTGATGCTGCGTGCCATGCATAACGTAGTATCAGGATGGCGTTGGCGTGGGGTTGGGCTGGCTGGAGTGTGCCATGCAGCTGCTTTGCCCCATCTCTGTCTCCAGGCTGGCCCTTACTGAGGTTATTAGTAACCATGACCCCAAATTATTTCATTGTTAGATTCCTTATTGCTCAAAAAAATCCAAAAATGGTTTCCAGTATTTTTTTTAAAAATCCTCAACTGGCTTATCCTTTAAAATCCATGATAGTCTGGCCATTTGGGCCAACCTGGCAAGCTTAACAATCTAATCTTCCATCAACAGTGCTTCAGTCTGTTTCTAAGTTTGAACAAACAATGTGCTTGCTGATATTATCATATATCTAAAGAGTGATCCATGTTTGCTGTCCAGTTCTTTATCCAAAATACTTAACAAAAATATTTCTGGTAACATTACAAACTGTGCCTTTAAGATTTTTTTTTGCATTAACATGTAGACCTTAGACTAATAGGTTTTTCCTTACAATTCCACCACATATGTGAAACGTACCCTCCATATCCTAACAACCCCAACATTGATTTGAAATATTCTTAAGGCCTTATTACATTAGAAAAGAAAGATGAGAGGCAGTGAAATAGAAGCAACTTTTTGCTTACCTTCCCACACACCCGCAAAACACTTCCACTTTACAGCCAAGGAAAAGGATCATAAATGCATGCCTTTTGTCCAACTGGAAAAATGCATTTGGCAAAAGCCACACATTTATGACTGGCTCCTTCTGGAGGGGGAATGGAAGTAACATGACATCATACGGGAAGGTAAGCAAATAGCTGCTTCTGTTTCACTGTTTCTTGTCTTTCTTTCATAATGTGATAAGGCATTTTCACCATTTAGACATTTTCAACATCTTACCTGAAGTTTGATACCATCTGTACATCATCTTATGCATTAAGATGTATACACAGTATGTTTTCAATCACGTGCCAGTGGCTTGTTCCATTCAGATATTAAAAGAACTAAAAAGTAATGTTTTTAGTCACTTTCAAAAGCAGGAAGTTCAGAAACTATAATAACTTTTAATTACTAGCTACCACTTTTGAACCTTGGGACTATAACTGTGATTACTTACAGTGGGTCCTCAGTATCCACTGGGGTTTGATTCCAGGACTCCTTGAAGGTACCAAAATCCATGGATGCCCAATTCCAGTTATATACAATGGCATAGTAAAATGCTATTCCTTATATAAAATGGCAAAAACAAGGTGTGTGTGTGAATATTTTTGTGTGTGTGTGAATATTTTTGAATCATGCTTAGCTGAATCCATGGGTGCTTATCTGTGAATACGGAGGAATGACTGTACAAAACAAAACAAAATAATTTTCCAAATTTTGAGATCCTTCTATTTTCTTCCTTTCTGCTTTCCTTCCTTTTGTTGTTCCTTAAGGAGCAGGTGTTTTTTTCCTTGAAAGAATAAACAGGCTCAGCACATAGCATCTTTGACCAGTGTCATTGGAAAAGTACTTTTGCAGAGCAGTAAGATTGTTTTAACAGAGACAATGCAATATATGTTACAGAATGTAATGGAACACAAGTTATAGAAACTGTATTTTGGTCTCAGCATTTTAACTTTGAGAGCCAGCATAGTACAGTGGTTTGAGCATTTGGCTATAACTCTGGAGATCAGGGTTTGATTCCCTGCTCAAGCACAACAACTCACTGGGTGACCTTGGGCAAGTCACACATTCTGAGCCTCAGGGGATGGAAATGGCAAACACTCTTTGAAGAACCTTGCCAAGAAAACCCTGATAGGTTCACCTTAAGTTGCCATAAGTAAAAAATGACTTGGAGATACACAACAACAAATAATTTAACTTTCCAGATGAGCAGAAATGTGTTTGTTTGCCAAATCCGTCACAAAGCAATAGTGCCATAAACACAGACAACTGTGGCAGGTTTAGTCATTAATGTTGTATACCTATGGGTACTTAGTTGGGAGTGAAAAACCCTTTGAACACAGCATGACTTCTTTGTGGACATGGCTAGGATTGCCAATCCCTCTTTCATGAGCAGCACCACAAGAGTAAATAGAAGAAAAACAACCACAAGTCTGTGTGATATCATATCGTATGGCAAGATCACTGAAGAAGAAATAGTATTTTTCTTTAATATATAAATGTGCATGTGTGCGTGTGTGTGTGTGTGTGTGGTGTAGCGGGGGTTCTTTCCCAAGGTTTTAAAACCTCCAGGGCAGTTAGAAACCCATGTTTTTCATTGAACTGTGTCTTTTTGAAATTCACAAGCTTGACATGGCATTGGCATGACGTGTCTCAGCCTGTTACACTGAAATGCCACATTACACTATGTGACGAGACAGGCCGACAAAAAAGGACATGACGCATCAGCCCGATGGGATGTCAAGCTTGAGAAATTCAAGTCGGGTGCCATACTTCATATATACATTAAAAAAAAAAAGAAAAAGAAAATCTGTTGAGCTTTGAGATTTGAGAGTCAGGATTTTAAATACTTTCCTAAAAAGCCTCTTGAATCAACAGGGCAGCTCATCTGTGATACTACCTAAACATTCAAAGAGGGGAAAAAACTTTCCTTTTGCATGCTTCCTCTTGCTTTTCCCCAGATCTAGATTTCAGATTTTGATTTTGTTATATTTTTGTTTATTTCATGTTTAAAGGATCACAGCAAGTTCTTCCCAAGATGGTTGACAAAAAGTTAAAGTGAGAGTAAAAAAGAAATTAAAATGGAAAAAAAGAAGGAAAGATAAACATTATAACCCTACAAGAGAAAAGAGCAGTTTGGCAGGATTGGTAGGAAGAAAAAAGAGAAAGAAAGAAGAATAAAAGCAACTGTGCAGGAAATGATAATAATTATTATTCTGGTGTTGAAATGGGGAAATACCTTCCATAGTACTGAAACTTTAAAAAATCTTCTGGCTTTCTGCCTGTCCTCAAATTATAGAATCATACAATTATGGAGAGTTGGATGAGACCCCATGCAGGAACTCCCAATCAAGCACCCTCGACAGATGGCCATCCAGCCTC